GCAAAAAAAAAAAAAAAAAGAAAAAGAAAAAGTCATGCAGAAAGTTGACCTGCACCATAGGTTACAAATAAATTCTGACAGATGATCATTAAAAGGCTGGCTCAGCTCCAGGGCCTTCTGAAAGAGGACTGGTGAGGGATTAGCTGCTTTTAAGCGTGTGTGTCGATATGGGGACAAAGAGAATGTGCCGGGTATATGTACATGCAGGTAGTTCAAAGGGACTTGGGAGGGACAACCAAAAAAAAAATAAATAAAAATCAGCCCTGCTTTTCCTATTCCCCACTCTACATATAATTTCACTTTGGAAAACAGTATCAATCACTGATAAGCGAGAGGTTCTTAAACTGACAAAAGCCACTCAGCATGAAGGAAGTAAATGGAAGTCGCAGCATTTCTGCACATGCTTTCTCTCTTGGCCCAAAAAGATTCTTGCCAGGGGTTGTTTTTTTTTTTTTTAATGAGAATTGAATTATGCATGAGATTTTTTTTTGTTTGGTACATTAACTTCCCTTTGCCATTTCTCATTCATGCCTTTATTCTCAGCTCCTCTCCGCTGGTTCTGACACTCGCACTGCTTGCTCTCCCGGCCAAGCGGTCAAGCAGAGAGGAGAGGAGTGGTCTCCTGCTCCCAACACACTCAGCTCTAGCAAACACCGGCTGAGGTCAGGGTCCAAATCAATCTGAAACACGAACAAGCGCTTTATCGCAAAGCTGTGGAAGCTCACATTGCTCCATTTGCCCCAGAAACTTCTATGCTGGCATTTTGCATCTGATGCTGATCTCTTCCACACTGATGCAAATCCAGCAGGGTTACTCTGGATTTATACTGGGTTATCTAAGGGTATGGTTTAAAGTCCATCACACTGAATGAAAGGCTCTCATTGAATCAAGCCCCACGATGTCTTCTTTCCCTATGGTTTAGCACAGATAGAAATCTGGCATCGACAGCTGAAGTCAGAGTTCCTCTCCATTTATGCTAATATAACCGAGATCATAATCTGGCCCGTAGCTTTGTTTTATTCCACGTCTGATCTTTAACTATTGTGGCTCCAGTTTCTAATTTGGTCTACCTTTTTGCTTAGGTCAACACAGGAATGCAGGGCTTACGCTGATAGGGCCTATTTCAGAGAGAAGAAGCCTCCCACCCTACTTTTACCACCAAAAGAGCTGGGCCCGGACCAGGCTCTTCTCTTACCAAACCATGTCCTGGTGAGCATACTAGCAAACGTCTCCATCCTGGTCCCTCTCCCTTTCCCCTGTTCAATTGACACTGTGGCATCTGTGTATTACTATTTTTACTTTGGTTTGTATTTTTAGCTCGTTAATAGCTACATTGCCAGTGGGGGAAAAGACGACAGGCAAGTTTCCATGGAATTCCCACGGATTCTTGACACAACTGAAACAAAAATCCCTGCAGAGCTGGTTAGGATTTCTCCAGATTTTCTTTTTTTGTTTTTTGCTCCTGGCCCTGGCAAAGACTCGATTCACGCTGGACTTCTCTCTGCTGCTCGTGTCAGCCATGCAGTGAGAAATAATGTTTATTTTTAAAAAACCTTAGGGGGGTTTTACGGTCGATTTACCTGGTCTGACTGGGCTCTGCATGCAGTTCTGAGACACCATGCCCGGATGGACAGATGTAGATGCCCTGCTGCTGAGGTCCATGACGGAGGGGGTTGCTGAGGTAGCTTGCTGGAGACCTGGCTGGTGCGGGCTATGGTCATGCTGGGACGGGCTGGGTGGAATACCATTTTCTGAAAGAAATTCTTCCAGGTCCATGTATTCCAACTGGAAAGTATCTCCATCATATGGCAGTGTCTTGTCCCATAATGTTGGACCCAAGAAAGCTGACTGGGGAACTGTAGTACCGGTGCTGTCATCATCCAACTTCTTCTCTTTGTCTTTTTCTTTGCCAAATGCTTAAAAAACACAATGACAAAACACAACCATACAGTAACGATGGAAGAGCAAAGCAATGAATCATTACCATTATTATGATATTCAGGAAGATACATTTCCCCTCTTGCAAAGACTAATATCTCCTCGCATAAACAATTCCTTTGCTGTGTATATTTTAGGATCAGGCCAAAATTTTCACCTTGCTGGATCTAGCCGCATTTTCATGATTTCACCCTATTTTTAAGTGAAGAACACGCTGGCATATGTGCCTTCAAACGTCCCCTCTGACACAGCTCACAGATTTCTTAAGAGTTCCTCTATGAGTAGCAAAAAGTAACTTACAGAGGACATGTTGCCAGATATTTTATTGTGTTTCCAAAAGCAACAATTCCCCCTTAAAAAACCCCCAAAATACCCAAGTCAAAGGACCCAATCCTTCAGTCCTCAAGCAAACAAAAGTAGCTATTGAATTTGATGCCCTCTTTGCTTCTTTTAAGGCTACAGGAACTGGTCTTGTAACATGCAAATACAATGCAGGGCATCATCTGCATAATTAAAACTCCACTTTTGGAAACTGCTTGCTTAAAATAATGACAAAATAGGCTGGAAATACGTATGCTCAGGGGACAGCCAGAAAAAAAATACAAGTGCTCGTAACAAAATATGAAGAAAGCACTCATTTAACAATGTCCTATTTACTGTTTTAAGGAAATGCCCTGCACTTTGTTACAAAGTAAGGAGTCACCTTAACAACATCCTTTTTTTTTTTTTTTTTTTAAAAAAA